AGAATTCAATTGAATCGTGCTTGTAGATGCTGTTTAACCTACACTGCACCATATTCGATGTGAATTTCAATAGATTGCAACAAGCACGGACTTCAACTAAATAAAAGGAATGCAAGAAAAATTGTAAGAAGAATGTGACATTGGCTGAGATGTGGATACGCTAAAGAGTGGGCCAGTGACCCTCAGGTGGCCAATACGATCTGATGGCCATTAAGTTACCATCTCGGAGTCCTGCCCTTCCAAGTAAATTATGTTGTATTTGCATACCTTGGTCAAACACTGTTTGTACTGCCAGCCATAAGTAACAATCAGAAAAGACAAAGAAAGGAAAGGAAAATGCTACCCAATGACAACTCTGGTTCATCTGGGTGGGGTGTCATTGGTCTCAACTGTTCAAAGCTTGACAACAATGGCCACGGGGTGTTCAGGCAAGTGATAGAGCCGAATGCTATGGCAAGTATGAATGATGCTGCTGCTGATGATAACAATGACCATGATGATGATGATGGTGATGATGATGACGATGGAGATGGAGTGGCTTACAACAAACACAGTAATGATGATGCAGGCTTGGGAGTGGGTCATAAAGAGGGGTTGTTGTTTAAAACTTCCTAATCAAACGGGGGGTGTCATTTAAGTGATTTGAATTGGTCCATGGTCGGTTTCAGCATTTGAATTCAGATAAGACTGACAAAGACGAAAATATGTTTGCTGACACACCCAACACTCTTGCATTCCGGTGAGCTGCCTCCAAGTGTGCGTAGGGCAACATTTCCAAGTTTATGCGTTCTCAACATAATCACATGTATTAGCTCCCAAAACATGAAGTGGAAGGAGAGGAAGAGGAGATGGTAGTGGCAGTAATAGCAGAGGAGGAGGCGGAGAAGGACGGGTGTCAATGCTGTCAACATCGTTAAATTGCCCACTGACGAGGTATGTTGAAGGCCACACCAATGGGTATGCAAACCGCATTGACTTTAATATGTCGGCAGGCCCAAAGTGTCCTTGGTGAGGGGCAAAGGGTAACCGCGCATGCAGCTAGAAATCCACCACATATTTTCCCAAGAAGAAATGAAGCACACACACAAACACACACCAGAAAACATAAAAAGAAATCCCAAATTTCTCCCTTGACAAGATGCATCCAAACTGCACCAATGGGAACTCCATAGAAAGGACAACCCCATACCAGGCAACATGCATTTCTGACAGCCCGAACATAATCTCCCAATACCTCAGCATTGCACCGTCCTGCGTCCAGTATATTGGTAGGCTGAGTGGCAGCTTTCACACGCTGGCCCAACTCTACCAACAACATAATATGGGCCCACTGTTGCAGGACGATGGGAAAATACCAACGAAAGTTCCGGCAACAGCCAACGGACCTAGCTCGGGTGGTAGACCAATAAACTGGTGAAACACAGACCTGGGTTCAAATCCAGATGTCCCAGTTCGACACTGACATCTTGAGGTCCTTGCCCTTTAGAAATAAGAAAAAAGAAACTTCACGCGATACCTGTGGCTCTATGGTGATGTCTCAGAGGACCATCTGAGAACATCCAACCACACATATCAGATCTCGATTCAGATCTGAAGCGCATGAAATATGTGTTTCATCACTTAAGCACTTATCGAGTTCTGTAACTGTTTCAACAGAATGTTACACCATGATAGAATGCAATGCATGTATACATCAAGAAGGCATTTAGTTGTATTAATCAAGAAGAGAAAAGCATGAAAGACAGCTCGGTGAAGAGTAACAAGTCTTGCTAGATTCCACACTCTCGGAATTTCAAGCAGCATTTGATTTCTGGATTTTTCCAGCCTCCATTTGACCATCAATGCAACTGTTACCTTTTGAGGTCTTCCCTCCACACAAACACCCTTGCCCTAGCTCAAAGAAAAGTCAGAAGACTTGCTAGATTCCAAATACCCTTTTTTCTAATTTGGAGAAGTAGATTTGACTTCAAAAGTTTTATAAGCCTCATCGTCTGGTCATCCATGCACCTTTGCCAAATGGGATTGATAGACCACTTATTATTCTCCTCGGCCATACACACCCCTCCGAAACTTCAACCTGCATATGAGGGGGTCGGGGGGAAAAAAACTCCCCCAACTTCAACCGTCATTTAAAGGAAAAGACAACACCCCCCCCAGACTTCAATCTTCACTTTAAAAAAGAAAAAGTGGGCCACAGGTCTGAAGTTGTACTGACCGGATTGAAGCTCCTTGGGCTGTCTCTTATACACATCTAGATGTGTATAAGAGACAGTCCCTGTAGAACCTCAATAGGATTACCCTATTACTTGAGCATTGATTCCCTCATCCCTGTAGAACCTCAATAGGATTACCCTGTTACTTGAGCATTGATCCCCTCATCCCTGTAGAACCTCAATAGGATTACACTACTCCCCCTTTCCTTTTCTGACCAGTGATCGGCCCCGTCCCGTCCTTCACAGTAGTTCATTGGGTTGTTGGCAGCCGGGACGTTGCCTTCCAGAGGGAGGGGACTCAGCCAGGGCTCGATCCCTGGTCCGCAGGTTACCACCCGCCAGGCTGCTATTTTATTCTTTTTGAGTTTCTGATCTCCGGTTCCTGACTGTTGACGACCTCTGCAGTTGGCGCCCGTTCTCAAATTCCTCCCACACTTTCGGATTTCGATACTTGGCACCATCCCGCATTCTGGCGCCCAGACACAGACCTTTGATTCTCAGTTCAGCCCTGAGGCAAATCGCACATCTGCCCTAAGGACTGAACTTGAGTCGGGTACTTAAGACCGGACTCAAGCTGAGTTCGGGCATTCAGTTTTCGGCCTCGATGCTTGTGCTTCAGTGTGACTTGCTGCGACATTGTGTTCGGAATCCAAGATTGCAACCTTGCGACTTTGCCACTGTGTCTGCGTCCGTCGAGTCGTGTCAAGTCTGCGTCAAGTTGAGTGAGCGTGTGTGCATGCTCTCACTCTCCCTTTCTCTCCCAGCCTCGCTGCCCTGCCTCAGCCCCGTCACAAAGCAGGTGCGTACTCAACATCCCCCACTCAGGGCACTTCTTCTTCCGCCTGCAACCCCATTGTCAAACTCCAAGTCTCATTTCGCAGGCCTTAATCTTGCCAGCGAGTACCAGCTCCGATACCAACTGCATTGAACCACATTGTTTGTCACCTTGAGTGCACACACGCATTGTGAGGGCACACGAAATCCACACTGGAGACCAGAGATGCAAAGTACAGATTAGCGCAGCTTAGGAATTCCAACGAATTATCATATTAAACAGTTTCTGAGTTCCAGTCACCAAGCGCTCCATAGCGCAGAGTTCAGCAACCCAAGTCCCGCATCCTCTTCCAGGTAGGTGAACTTCTCTCTCCTTGCCTCACTCTCTCTCTGTCTCTCTCTCACTCTCTCTCTCTCTCCTTGCCTCACTCTCTCTCTGTCTCTCTCACTCTCTCGCTCTCTCCCTTCATGCATGTGTCGACTCTCTCTCTCTCTCTCTCTCTTCATAAAGATCTTGACTCTGCATACATCCGCTGCTCAGCCCTACTCCCTACGACTAGCTGTGCGGCTATTGCCGCCTTCCTTCCTCAGCACAGCGCTGCCCAGCCAGGGCTCTAGCGCATGCCACTTGCAGATAGCGCACATGCACCCAGCAGCACTTCCACACTTCTTGCAAATGAGCAATTTTGTTGGAAATGTGGCTGGCCAGTCCATATATTGACTTGGACAAAACCTTCACTCGTCGCAGCCTCTGCTTCTCTTGGCTTGACTTGAACCCAGTACCGGCCGCCCGTGGCCGGTTTGCTTGAGAATATTGAGGCCCGGTACCTCCCTGAGTTTTCCTTGGTGTGCTGATGCTTTTGGGTCTGTGGGACGTGATCTTTGACTCTGGGTCGCGACCCTTGCCTGTGGGATATGACCTTTGACTGTGAGACGTGACTTTTGCGAATGGGATGTGACTTTTGCCTCGTGGATGTGACTGTTGACCAGGTACCTGTCGGACTTTACGTCTGGGGTACCCGACGTAACCTTTCTGAAACTGGCCGGCCTGGACTTTGGCTCAGGGACTTTGACTCTGAGATTCGAATTTAGGGTCTGCACCATGAAATGCCTTTCAACCACACGCACAAAAGACAAAAATTCTGGTGTATCTTTCTACCAAAGATTCCTTCTCACTTTGCACATTTGGTGAGTGATGGAGCCAGGCACACAGTGCAAGTATGCCCCCAGCTGCGAATTGAGGCCAGCTACGTCGCTGTGTATGAACATCACACATGAATAACAAATGCGCGATCTCCTGACGGACAGCCAGCCTGCACAATCTCCTCTCGAGGCCAGCTATGTAGCTGTATATGAACATCGCATGTGGATAATAAACCCAGGAAAGAACTGTGAACCGACCAAGCCCAAAATGAAATCACAATGTACCCTGCCTATGCATCTGACTGCCCCGACGAATCGCACGTCCTGTAAAACAAAACAGGCCACGCGCTCCAAAAGAGTGACTGCCAGCAGCTCCAAAAAGAGAGCTCCTTGCATGGCCTACCCACTATACGGCAGAGGGGGGGAAAAAAAAACAAAAAGAAAAACAAGGCATTCTGCAGCTATCCTCGATCCCACGACCGTGGGTGCCAAAAAAACACCTCAGCACAATTCTAGAGGGCGAACCATGCTCCCATGGGAGGACCGTCTGGGCCTCACCTTCAGTGGGCCTGTGTGAAGTGTCTTCAAAAACTCGGTTTTATCTTTATATATGATAGATAGATAGATAGATAGATAGATAGATAGATAGATAGATAGATTTCTTTATATACTGTAAAATTGCCATAGCTTGTATAGAAGACTGTGTTTGGGATAGCGGCACCTATGCTAGTGGTTGTTGTGAATGAATGGCCTTGCGAACAAGATACATCCTGTGCCACCCCTCTGACGCATTATATAATAGTCTTACTGCAGTTATGTGTGTGTGGTTGTGTGTCTCCCCTACCCCCCCCCCCCGGGCCTGGGTGGATGGGATGTGGTGCAGAATGTCAGTTGCAGCCGCACACATACAGCCATGGAGGGCCAGCTCACTTGTTCAGAGGACCAAAACTTGCATGCCTCAAAAGCATCCCTCCCATCCTCCCTGTTAAGGAAAAGGCAACAACATGGAATAGTGCTGCCCCAAACTCGCCATTTCACACATATAATATGCAGAGCCTCTGTCAAGGCCAGAGAATGTGAAATGGCAAGTTTGGGGCAGCTGTAATGAACCTGCAAATTCGCGGTGGACTGTACAGTAGGCTGAGGGTGAAGCGTGGGCCTCGCCTCGGTCGGGTCCTAGGTTAGGTCAGATTCATAATTTTGTTTGGCTGAGGGCTAACCGAGAGATCTGCCTGTAAGGAAATTCGTGAGGGACATATCTGCAAATCTGGGAAAAATACAGGCCCAGCA